AAAAGCTTTGCTAAAGTCAAGAAATAACACATCCACTGCTTTCCCCTCATCCACAGAGCCAGTTATCTCATCATAGCCATTTCCTGGCTTCTAAGTCACACAGCCTCACCCTTCCTGCATCCTTCACCTTTCCTGCATCTGGCGATCCTGCCATTCCTGTCCTGAGTGGGAACAAAACTGTCCCCTGTTTGTCCACAGCTTCTTGGCACAGCTTGCCTGCGTGCACCGGACCAGAGCGATCCATCCTTTGGGAGGTGTGTACTGGGCTTACCCCAGCTTCCAGGGGGCATAAGAAGTGAAGGGACCGTGTGCAGTTAAGATCGTTGGCATCTAAAGTAGTCACACACCACATTGGAGGTGATTTCAGCTGCCCCTACTGCTAGTGCAGCAGTGGGGTGTGTAGAGGCCAACAGTGCTAGCATGCAACGTGCCATATTGATGGAGCAGGGACCGTGCTGACTGGGGCCTCCAGGACCCACTGCAATATACATATTGGATAACCTGACTTTCTGTAATGCAGGGACGCAGCATGGGCAGGCTCGGTCGAGACTGAGCCTGGTATGCTGAGATGTCTGGCACAGCCATTTGAAAGGTGAACGTGGTCAGCGCTACATTACAGAAGTCCCGGGGCTGGCTGTATTTGGACTCCGAGCCACGCTTCCTTCACCCGCGATCTGCCGGTACCGCAGAGAAGCCCCAATGAATCTCCAATTCCATCCTCAACCTCAAACAACCAAACAGTCCGTTTCTCTGTCAATAAAACACGTGCAGATGTTGTGGAACGATGAAAGTGAAAACCACGAGGGTCTGCATTCTGTATCTGAACGGCCACAGGGCTCCTCCACCTCCATGGGTTTTGGTTAAACCGCGCTTAGGCGTCTAAATACGCTTCCAACTGGAAATGTTAAATAAGTGTGTCTATCCAGCCTCCGCCTGCCAATTTGAGATGATTAACGGCTTTCAGGACTAATCCTAAAGGAGAATGGCATTAGCATATTCCGCTTGTGTGACCCCAGATATTTGATACTCCAATCCATCCCGGAAATAAAGCTGCGGTAGTTAGCTGCCGTGTAGATTTCATAGGAAGGGCATCCCTCCCCCAACCTCATGCCGTAGAGACCATCCGGTTTCCCACCGGCCCCTTTATTCTTTTGAGGTTAGTACTTGGGAGATAATGCTGCCATTTACATATAAATATAAAATCCAGGATAAACGCATCTGCTCAGAGGTGGGAAATGAAGAGGAATCAAAAAAAGAATTAACTCACAGTTTTGCCGGAAAGAGGCGATTTTATTTTTAATTTCTCTGTCCCAAGGGCGGTTGAGATGCTTTGACGTGTCATGTGTCCGTCCGTCCGTCCGTCCCCACCCGGCTAAGCAGCCGGATTTGGGAGCCTTGGAGCCTCCAGCCCCTAGGAGCTACCCTATCTAGCACCATGAGGGTGCTCCTCATGAGATCCGAGTGCCTGAGTGAGCCGTTCCCTGGGGAGCCTGATTCTTGCTACCAGGCAACACAACCAGTCCTAACGCACGTCCCAGTTACCCCGTGGGAAGCCGCTCCTTGAGCACGCTGGCTGGGGGTCGCCGTCACGAGTTTGAATCCCATCACTGCTTGTGTGTGGTTTGGCTGATTGTGCCCATCCCACTGCTGATTTGTGTGTAAATGTGGCTTGCGTTGTTTTGATTCCATACGGCTTCATTTACACAGGAGCCAGGCAGAGAGCTGCCTTCCCTTCTGTCTGGGAGAAAACCTGTTTCTCCCTTTGTTCGGTCACAGACTTTAAAGCATAATATCCGTGAGTATCCATGACTCCTCATATAGCGTTAACACATTTCACAATGATATTGATCACCAGCGTGTCACCGGCTTTCACAAAAGACCTTCCTCGATATACTTTTCTGCTGCAGTAATACTGTATTACTCTTTGGGGTTCAGACCCCCTGTTGTCGCCCTGGGGTGTCTAGACCTTGACTGTCACATTGACTGCACAAGGGCCTTGTGTGTCCCACATCGCTCCATAGAACCAGTGGGGAAACTGACACCTAGTGGAGACTTCTCAGATCCTGAGAACTCCAGCAGCTGTTCTGCATTGGACTCCTGACTGTCTTTCAATACCTGAATTCTCTGGTCTTGCATATTACCCAACCCGCTCCCACCTATCCCTGGCTTATCTACCTGTGCGACAGCTGTGTCTGACTTTATCTAGTTCTGCTCACAAACTTAGCATGTGTTCATTATCCCTGGGCTTTGAGCTGCTGCTCCAAACTTAGCGCGGTTTAATATTTCTCTAGCGTTATCTAAGTGATACAGCAACTGATATAAACGCTCCGTGCTGCTCCGGTGTCAGGTAGGTTGCAGCCCATCCAAGATGAAGGGCATTCTTGCGCTGGTCTGCTTCCTGCCCTGTTTAACGTCTGGGACCCAGCTCTCCTTTCCGGGTAAGAGCAGATTTTTAAAATATTTTTAAAACTAAAGTGTATCCCGTTTGGATTTATGTGACGATAACAAAAAGGTGATTCAGGGTGAGATTTCTCTCCTGCCCCATAGCCTGGCAAAAATTATGGGTTCAAACGAGCCATTTTTGCGTGAACGCAGATGCCCAAAGCTCTGATTTTGCAAAAGCGAAATTCAGCCCTGTTCAGAAGGCCGGAGCAAGGTCTAAGCCAGGGGTAGGCAACCTATGGCACGTGTGCCGAAGGCGGCACGTGTGCTGATTTTCAGTGGCACTCACACTGCCCGGATCCTGGCCGCCGGTCCGGGGGGTCTGCATTTGAATTTAATTTTAAATGAAGCTTCTTAAACGTTTTAAACACCTTATTTACTTTACCTACAACAATAGTTTAGTTCTATATTATAGACTTATAGAAAGAGACCTTCTAAAAACATTAAAATGTATTACCGGCATGCGAAACCTTAAATTAGAGTGAATAAATGAAGACTCGGCACACCACTTCTGAAAGGTTGCCGACCCCTGGTCTAAGCATTGCTTACTTTTCACTTCTTAAGTGGTTCAGAAGGCCCCATGTTGGCCTCTTGCATAGGAGTGAATTTTACCCTTGTAGAATAATTTACCAACCAAGGGACGTGGTGCAGTCTCCATCCCTTGACAGCTTTAAATCAAGATTGGATGGCTTTCTAAAATACATGCGGTAGCTCGGCCACAAGGCATGGGCTGGATGCAGGACTCATTGAGTGATATTCCCGGGTTTGTGTTACGCAGGAAGTCAGACTGCTCCTAATGGTCGCTTCTGGGCTCCACATCCACGACTCTATGAAAAAAATAGACAAAAATTTGTTCCGTGAAAAGCTGCCGTTGGCCATCATCGGGGACAAATTTGGGCAAAACCACCCACCTCTTTGCTCACACTTCAGGCCACCTTTTAAAAGTGCTCCGCACCCAGAAACGGCCCCCAGTTTTTAAAAGGATTCTGCTGCCATTATACATGCCACCGCCAGACTTCCCGAGTGTCTGTTCCCACTCCAGTGCTGGATGGTCTAGTTCTAAAGCGCGGCAGCAAAATCGACATTTGGGGCTCTTCTCCAGTTGGGTCTGTACTCTGTGTTCTGGTAGCGCTTTGTGTTTTGCTGCAGGAGTATCTTGCAATCACTCTTTGCTTAACACGTTACTAGCCTGGGGTACGTTCACCATCGACGACAGCTGCTCTTCCCCCCTGCAGGTTACTTTGTGCAAATAACCACCGTGTCGCGTGCACTTGATCAAACCCGTGAAATCAACTCGTAGCCACCTATGCACGAGCGCTTCAGAAATCCTACTTCAAGGAAGCCGACAGGCGGTTTCCCACTGATTTCAAGGGGGGCAGGATTTCACCCATGTTGTTTTCCATCTGGTTTCGTGGTCGGCTGCTTGCTTGTTTGTGCCGAGAACTTGTCCGTGGAGTTTCCGGCAAAAGCAGAAATAACGCTTCCCTGTTTCCCTTGTGTACTCGCGTAGAGCAAATGCGTAGCAAAGAGTGAAAGCCGGGATCCCAAGAACCTTCATGAATAATTAAGGTCAGATTTGTAGTTCTAACTTGAAAGGCGAAGGCTTGGCTGCCATATCTACAGACGGGAGCAGATTCTCCCCCGAGCTCCCAGAGATACGTGCATTTAGGGCTCATTAAAAATCCATGGATAGCGCTCTTGGCGGCAAAGCCTCTGATGGGATTTCAGCTCCGGCATGATTTGCTCTCAAGGCAGTTGAGTGTTGCTGTGCGCTGGGCAGGTGATATGGGGCAGTCAGGGCCAGCTGCCTCCAGGATGGGGAGCTGCTTCGGCGCACCTCTGCTTGCACGCACCCCAAGGACGGCGTTGGGGCGCGAAAGAGAGAGAAGCAACATCCCCTGCTTCCCAGTTATATTACATTAACAGTGTCATTTCCCCTTCTTGTCGCCGAGGGTCTGCCTTGGGTCAGTATCCACCTCACCATTGGATAGAGGAGCAAAGCTGAGCAAAGCACGTAGAAAAATGCTCTGCCCGAGGTCTTCTAGTGAGTCAGTGGCGGAGCTGGGAAAAAGGACCCAGGAGTCCTGGTTTCCGATCCACTGTGTAAAGCAGGCCCCCGTTGATCGATCCTTCCGGAGAGGGAGTCCTGGGGCTGTTCTGTACAGCTGTGGAATCAAGCAGAGCGGGAAAGTTTAAGAAACCCCCAGAAAGGTGAAAGTGATTGGAAGCGGGTCTGTGTCGATGGGCTTCGTCCATATCTGGAATGGAAAATCGAGGAAACGCAGCTTCATCCTGCAATCAGCAGGTAGTGTGAAATAGCCGCAGTGGGAGAGGATAGCATAGAGACCAAGCCGAGGTGTGCAAGGAAAAAGAGGGTAGACGGAGCTCATTCCAGATGGTCGGAGCTGGGTTCTCTCACACACATGAGAGGAAGTAGGCCCTACTCAGACACAGGGAGAATGGTGTGTATAGACAGTTGGGTATTAGGAATGGAGCACATGGAAGAGGGAAGCTGGAGTCTCCTCTTTGGCTATATTGCCTGCACAGCGTTCCTTGGGAGTAATTATTCCATAACAATGATGGCTTACTGACTATTGCAATCAGCACATTAGCTGGATGAACTGAATAAACCAGCCATCATGCCTTCAGTGAGCCAGCTACCCCTTTGAGCTGGGTAAGAGGGGAGTTGGGGACTGGTGCTGTACGTGCTCCTCTGTCCATGTTTCTAGCCCATGACCCTAGTATCTGGCCATGGGGGCGAGGCCATAGTGAACTCTGGTCCGTCTCTCTTTGCCATCCCAGGAGAAGGTGAGCCGTGGGAGGTCCCCTCGTTCTACTCTGTCTCCGACAGTGAGATCAAGAGTGTCTCTGAGACGCTGTACTCTGCCGACGTGAACAAGGCCACCAGCCACGAGATCGTCCTCAACCTGCAGCACAAGATCTCCTCTGACCAGACCGGGGCAGGCCAAGACTACGCCAGCCAGAAGTGAGGGCCTGGGGATGGGGTGCTGGGAAACCCACGTGTGTGGGATGTACAGATCAGGGGGGAGGGTGCGTTGAGGTTACACCAGATCCTTGCATGGGCAGAACCTTCCACAGCCACGTAGACATTCCCGCAGGGCAGACAGAGAGGAGTGCCGCGAGGTAGCACGCACATGCGGCAGACAGGTCTGGTCAGGGTGTGGGGATGCACAAAGGGGGATGGAAGTGGTACCTAGGCCTCGTTCTAGCTCTCTGGTAGGGGTGCCTCCTTCTGCAGATCCCATTTATAACTATCCGAGAGGGACTAGTTAGTCTCTGGTCAGAGAGGAAGGATGGTCCAGTGGTTAGGGTACCAGCCTGAGACTTGGGTGACTTGGGTTCTATCCCTTGCTCCGCCACAGACTTCTTGGTGTGACCTGGGGCAAGTCACTTAGTCTCTCTGCCTCAGTTTGCCCTAGAGGGGTGGTGAGGATAAATGCATTAAAGATTATGAAGCCCTCTGATGCTCTGGTGATGAGGCCCAGATAAGTACCTAAGGCAGAGCTATCTGTCCATGGGCTCTGCCTCCGATTCTCCGGCTGAGTCTGTGACCAGGAGCAGCATCCCTAAACCCCTCTCTCTGCTCTCCTGCCAGGCTCTTCAGCTACGTGGACGAGGATGCCCTCTTCTCCAAGCCCACCTTTGCCAGGCTCTTGGCTCTGCTGAATAACTACGAACGCATGACGGGCAAGGAGGAGGTGGTGACCACCTCCGAGAGCCAGGAGGTAGACGCTTTCCTGGATGAAATCTTCCAGACCCAGGTGATGGAGAAGCTGACCCAGTTCTTTCTTTCTAAAGGTAAAGCGCCGACTGTGCAGGTGGTGCACAGCTGGGTGATGACATGGGTTGTGTCTGCCGCCAGGCGCTAGAGGGACCATAGAGGGGCCTCGGCTCAGTGCAGGATCCTGGAGCTCTGCCAGGTGCCGTGGAGAAAGGCTGAGCCGTCAGGAGTCCAAGCAAGGAATTGCCTCCCCTCGCTGAGCCGATTTGTACTAGGTTCTGCTCTGTGTGGAGGAGCTGACCGTCCACCCCAACGTGAGGCCGCTGGGCGGGAGTTTTGGCTCTCTGCAGAATGCCTGTCCCTCTAGCTCAGCTCTCACCCGAGCCGAACGCAGCTCCCGGCACCTGCTGGCCGCCAGCGCCGGCAAGAAGGACTGCCTGTTCTCACCACAGCCGGCGCTCGCCTGTGAAGCTCACTGAGCGCATCAGTTGGAGAAGGAACATGTGTTTCTTGGTGTATTTCCCAACGCACCGTCTGCTAAATACCAAGCACGGCGCTCAAAAGCGGACTGTGAGAGCCGGCATCCGCAGCGCTCCGGTTGTCCCTCCCCGCTCAGCTGCTCGCCGCGAACAGTTGTCACAAATAGCACATTGCGTCCTGGTGCTTGGCTTCTGAGGCAGGAATGGGAAGATTCAGGCCACTAAAGACAAGGCTGCTGTTAAAACGAAGGCACACGGGGAACTCGCTGCTTGCCAGTGGGGGGCGTGTGTGACACAGAGTAGCTGGCACCTGCCCCGGATGGGAGTCTGCCAGCTGGGAGTGACAAAGGAAGAGGGAAATGTGCAGTGGAGGGGCAGTTTGCATGTTCAGAGAGGAGAGGGCGTGGGATTGGAGGGGAGGCAGCCTCTGTCCGTCCGGGGAGAAGGGCCTGTGTCCTGGCTACGAGGGTCTGATGTTCTCAATAGCAAGGAGGAACATCCGATCGCTCTGGGCCTCACCAGTTTTTACAAGTGAAGAGGCAGCGTATGATCCCTAAGTCCATGCCAGAGCCAGGCAGACAGCCTGCCGCCCCTCGCTGGGCTGATACCTAACCCATGGATTCAGACCAGCAGTGGGTCTCCGAGATCTCCCGTGGCTGGTGTCACGGAGTGTGGGGGAGACCAGGCACTGCACCCCCGGCTTCCTGCGATTCACCATGACTCTCAGCCAGTCAGTAAAACAGAAGGTTTATTTAGATGACAGGAACACAGTCCAAGACAGGTCTTGCCGTATCGGCAAGACAACAGGACCCCCTTTAGTTAGGTCCATCTGGGGGCCCCAGGGAAGCTACAGCCCTGTTGGTCGGAGCACCCTTCTTTATTTCCCAGCCAGCTCCAAACCTGAAACTCCCTTCCGCAGTCTCCTTTCTGCCCTTTCCCCGGCTCCTCTCCCAGCCTTTGTCCTTTGTCCAGTTTCCCGGGCAGAGGTGTCACCTGGCCTCCAATCCCCCCTCTGGGTTCTCATGTTACATGCTCAGGTATGCTCCCTTCCCCAATGCAGGCAGTCCCAGCAAAACTCCCCTGCAACCTTCCCAGGTTAATACTCCCCACTCAGCATTCAAATAACACATCAAGAACATTCCCACTTCGCACAGCTGGGCTATGGAAGAGCTCCCCAGCTCAGTCCTCGGGGAGGTAGCTGCATCGCCCTGCTGGAGACCCGCTCTGACACCCGCTCTCTCTCCCCGGCCCAGGTATCTATTTGTCGGAGAATGACTTCAAGGCAGACCTGAAGAAGATGTGGTTCGGGCTCTACTCGCGCTCGAAGGGAGCGGCCATGGACTCCTCTGGCTTTGAACACGTCTTCCACGGTACAGCGCTGCTCGCGGGGCGGCGGGGGAAGAGCTCCGATGAGGGCACAACACAAATCCACAGCTCCGGGGGCTGTCGGAAACATGAATAAACCCGGGGCTCTGGCACGCCCACTTGCAGAGCCCCTTCTGCTGGAGGGAACCCCCCTCCAAACACTAGAACCAGAAACGGGGGGGGAGGGGGGCTAAAATCTGGCCCCTAATATTCAGGTTCCTGAGCAAGCAGCCTCATCTGCAGAGGGGCTGACCTGCTGAAAACTGCCTCAGGTCAGCCTCTGTGAAAATCAGGCCACATGTTTAAGAAGAAGCAGCCCGAGCTCTGGGGACAGCCCTTTGGATCCACAGATCTCCAAGCGTGTTCCAAAGGAGGCTGGTATCATTAGCCCCCTTTTACAGATGGGAAACTGAGGCACAGACAGGGCTGCGCCTGGCCCACGTTCGCCCACCAGGCCAGTGGCAGAGGTCGCTGGGAACAATCTTGGGGATGTAATTTCTGCCAATCATACAAGCGTGAAGGGGGATGGGGGGGAGGTCAATCATTGGGAATATGCCAAGGGGCCAGTTTGACGTGAAAGCTGAAATGGAACAGACTAGGTGTGCCGGTCTGATAAGTTTCAGAGTAGCAGCCGTGTTAGTCTGTATCCGCAAAAAGAACAGGAGTACTTGTGGCACCTTAGAGACTAACAAATTTATTAGAGCATAAGCTTTCGTGGACTACAGCCCACTTCTTCGGATGCATAAGTGGTATAGCCAAGCCTAGGGTGGGATTTCCTGGGGATAACCCCCTTGTACTGAGTCCCGGGGTGGTGTTGGTGGCCTGCAATACACACATCACTCCGGATGATCTGGTGGACCCTCCTGGCCGTAAGCTGCATGGCTCTGAGTTTAACGCTGGGTCTTTTCGGGCCGGCTTTTACCTTGGACAGCATTTCTCAGGTCAGGACACTTAGTTATTCTCAGCCACTCAACGGGATATTAATTCACCCCGATCCACATTAGCACGTAACCCACGGTGTCGAGACGGCAGATGTTCTAGGTCCCTGCTGAACAGACAGATACAGCCCCGCGAGCGATTGTCCTAAAGTGCCTTGCGGTCAGGCAGTTGTACCGGAGAACTTCACGGATCCCCGCGTACGCTCAGGATCCCCGGGGGGGGATGGGGACTCAGGGGAAAGTGATGAGAGGCTGGAAGAAGCTGAGGGGCCCGTTGGGAAGGGCACGGGGACTGCGGGAAACCGTTGGTGGCGCTGCCTGCTCTGGGGCAGGATGGGAAATGAGCCAGAAACAGGCCGGGACTCCAGCTCTGCTTCCTCTCGCCTGCAGGTGAAATCAAGAGCGGGAAAATCTCAGGTTTTCACAACTGGGTCCATTACTACGAGCTGGAGAAGAACGGGCAGATCAATTACCTGAGCTACAGCTACGATGGACCTGTGAGTGCTGGGGGGAGGGGGCACGGCTCCTACCCGCCCGATCCAGGGGGAGGCGGCTCCCAGCCCGGCCCAGCTCAGCATGGCTCCTAGACCGGAGGGAGGGTCCCTTTCTGCTCACCTGCTCGACCTGCTGCCTCCTGGCCCCACGAGGGGTCTGGGATCAAGTCTCAGTCCCAGTGGCGAGGTGAAGGGGGCTTGGTGAGTCCCTTTGCAGGCCCAGCACAGACGGGGGGACAAAGTCTCCTCCCATGAAGTCCTGAGCCATCGCAGTCCAGCCGTCGGCTGGCGAGCGGGCTGCCCGGCGTCCCTGCCCGGTGTCCCTGCCCGGTGCTGGCTCATTGGGTAGCGAACCGTGCCGTCCTTTATCCCATGCACCCTCTTGAGATAGTTTCCAACCGGAGACAGCCCAGAGTACCCCCTGCCAGGGGCACCCACCTCTTGCGTCCCCTTGTCTGGTTGCAGTGGACCGGCTACCCTGACATCATGGCCTTCCAGTACCGCTGGACGGGTTATCTGAAGAGCGTCGGCTCCTTCTTCATCGGCTCCAGCCCCGAGTTTGAGCTGGCCGTGTACACGCTGTGCTACAAAACCAGGCCCAACAAGCTGTGAGTATCAGAGACAATGCCAGGTAGGCCGGGCCCCAGTGGGGGTGTCGCCCTCGAAGAGGCACCGGCTCAGGGGGACGGACTTTCAGGTCATTTCTGGTAGCAATTGTTGTACTTTTAAAAAACTCTTCGTTGTGCGTAAAACCCTTTGAGAAGCCTGCTAATGTCTCCTTCCCCGCAGAGTTTTGTGGCAAAGGCGATCATAGAGCAGGGGGAGCTGGCAGTCCGGACTCCTGGGGAGTGGGGTGTAGTGGTTAGAGGGGGTGGGAGTCAGGACTCCTGGGTTCTCTCCCAGCTCTGGGAGGGGAGTGCAGTCTAGTGGTTAGAGCAGGGGAGGATGGGAGTCAGGACTCCTGGGTTCTCTCCCAGCTCTGGGAGGGGAGTGGAGTCTAGTGGTTAGAACAGAGGGGCTGGAGTCAGGACTCCTGGGTTCTCTCCCAGCTCTGGGAGGGAAGTGGGGTCTGGTGGTTAGAGCAGGGGAGGATGGGAGTCAGGACTCCTGGGTTCTCTCCCAGCTCTGGGAGGGGAGTGGGGTCTAGTGGTTAGAGCAGGGGGGACTGGGAGTCAGGACTCCTGGGTTCTCTCCCAGCTCTGGGAGGGGAGTGGGGCCTAGTGGTTAGAGCAGGGGGCTTGGGATCAGGATTCCAGCCTTCTCAGCATTGCCAACCCCAAGTGTTCAAAACACAGGATTGGCTTAAACACTGTGAGACTTCTAAGAGATACCACACGTGGGGACACGTTTGTATCGTCCTGCAGGGCGCACTCAGGGCGACATGGCTCTGGACAGCCTCCCCAGCGGCCTGACGTCCATCTCCTTGCAGGTGCACGCTCAGCCTCGGCGGGAAATCGGCTCAGATTCAAACTTACTCCTGGACCAACTCGGAGTACGGCACAGGCAAGCGGTACCTCGCCTCCTCGTACCCCAACTCCCCCTGACCCTCCCCCCCAGCACCACGACAATAAACCTTTGCCTCGCTCAGCCGCTCCCTTTTGCCTTTTGTTTTCAGGGTCCCAAGTGGGGGACTTCCCCCCCGCCTGCAAGCGTGGTGCCTGCTGCTAGTTTCTTGCAGCGCTTGTTGTTCGGGGAGGGTGCATACGTGGCCTGTGATGTGACACAAGGTAATAACGGTGTCCAGTTTTGGGCCCCACACTACAAGAAGGATGTGGAAAAATTGGAAAGAGTCCAGAGGAGGGCAACAAAAATGATTAGGGGGCTGGAGCACAGGACTTATGAGGAGAGGCTGAGGGAACTGGGATTGTTTAGTCTGCAGAAGAGAAGAGTGAGGGGGGATTTGATAGCAGCCTTCAACTACCTGAAAGGGGGCTCCAAAGAGGATGGAGCTCGGCTGGTCTCAGTGGTGGCAGGTGACAGAACAAGGAGCGATGGTCTCAAGTTGCAGTGGGGGAGGTCTAGCTGGGTATTAGGTGTAGTGGGGTGATCACCCACGCCTGCCCTGAGGGGCTTAAAACAGCCCTGGGAGAGGGCTGTGGCAGGGACAGCAGCTGCAGCCGGACCACGCCCCAATCAGGCTTCAGCTGGTCCTATATAAGAGGCTGGGAGCCTGGCGCTCAGCAGTCTCTAGCTGTAGAGGGAGAGGGACCTGAGCAGAGTACCCGAGTGGAGCAGGGCTGGGGAAAGGCAGAGGAGCTGGGGAGCTCCAGTCTGGAAAGCCCCAGGCTGCGGCCTGGCAGAAGGCCCACGGGTTCTGGGGGTTGCAGAGGGCAGCCCAGGGGTAGGCAAAGACAGCAGGTCCAAACCCAACCTTGCCGGTGATGAGTGGGCTGATCTGCGGTCTGCCCCAGGGGGTGGGGGCTCGACAATGACTGGCAGTGGCCTTAGACTGAGTAGAGGTGGGGATTCATAGATTCTTCATAGATTCTAGGACTGGAAGGGACCTCGAGAGGTCATCGAGTCCAGTCCCCTGCCCGCATGGCAGGACCAAATACTGTCTAGACCATCCCGGATAGACATTTATCTAACCTACTCTTAAATATCTCCAGAGACGGAGATTCCACAACCTCCCTAGGCAATTTATTCCGGTGTTTAACCACCCTGACAGTTAGGAACTTTTTCCTAATGTCCAACCTAGACCTCCCTTGCTGCAGTTTAAGCCCATTGCTTCTTGTTCTATCCTCAGAGGCTAAGGTGAACAAGTTTTCTCCCTCCTCCTTATGACACCCTTTTAAATACCTGAAAACTGCTATCATGTCCCCTCTCAGTCTTCTCTTTTCCAAACTAAACAAACCCAATTCTTTCAGCCTTCCTTCATAGGTCATGTTCTCAAGACCTTTAATCATTCTTGTTGCTCTTCTCTGGATCCTTTCCAATTTCTCCACATCTTTTTTAAAATGCGGTGCCCAGAACTGGACACAATACTCCAGCTGAGGCCTAACCAGAGCAGAGTAGAGCGGAAGAATGACTTCTTGTGACTTGCTCACAACACACCTGTTAATACAGCCCAGAATCATGTTTGCTTTTTTTGCAACAGCATCACACTGTTGACTCATATTTAGCTTGTGGTCCACTATAACCCCTAGATCCCTTTCTGTCGTACTCTTTCCTAGACAGGAGGTGGGGGTTCCCCTGAGACTGAGGGGTTACTGCCAGGGGGCAGCACCCCAGATAACGGGGCACCGGAGTCCAGGGAGGGACGCGGGGGCCCAGCGGCAGTGGGGCACCGGCCTGCAGGGGGCGCTCTGGAGGCTGGATGAGCTAATTCCCGAGACGACCAGCGGGAGGCGCCGCAGCGGTGAGTCTCACATCGCTACATTAGGAAACACTATTTCACTAGGAGGGTGGTGAAGCACTGGAATGGGTTACCTAGGGAGGTGGTGGAATCTCCATCCTTAGAGGTTTTTAAGGCCCGGCTTGACAAAGCCCTGGCTGGGATGATTGAGTTGAGGATTGGTCCTGCTTTGCGCAGGGGGTTGGACTAGATACCTCCTGAGGTCTCTTCCAACCCTGATATTCTCTGATTCTATGAACCTCGGGCAAGTGCAGAGCTAATTCAGTCCCCAGCAGGCCCCAGGGTTAATGCGCCGTGCGCGCATTGTCCGGCTCCGTTTGGATCTTGGAACGGGGGTGGTGGTGGTGGTGGTCATGAGCCGAGCTTCTGCCTTGTGGTTTGTGCTGCACTCCGAGCTGCCCTGGCCGGGAGCCCCTGGGAGCAGCCGGCCACTGAGCTCTCCCTGGTAAAGCAGCCCGGCTAATGGCCTGCCCCATTGTCGCTGTCCATGGTGACGGCAGTGAGGTCTCCAGGTGGAGTTTAGCTGGGAAAACATCCCTTATTGCTGCACACGGGCCTGAGAGCTCCTGACTAGGCAGCAAACAGGCACAGATGCCCTGGAAAAGCCGGGCTTCCTCCCCGTCCTGCAGCTGTCCTAACCGTTCCCAGTCTCCAGGGGGCAGGCAGGGGTCAGGGAATCTGTCCGGCCATGGTAGCGCTCCTGAGAGATGCAGACCCCTCTCCGGCATACACACCCATCCCCTGCTCCTGAGAAGGGGCATTTTCCTCGCCCTAATCAAGCAGGCAGCCCCGGGGAGTGCAGGGCCTGGCCCTTCGGCTCCAGCGCCCCCCACAACCAGAGACTTCCCAAATCACTTCTTCTGTCTGGGCTCCAACGCCGTCTCTCTTTCCCCGCCTTGCTGCGCCGCGCCGCGCCGTGCGGCCAGACCCTGCTGTGCTGCGTGGGATTTCCCTGGCAGCGCCTCCGAAAGACCCCTGCAAAGCGAGACGCTGCTGGGGATTTACGGCTTTCGGCGTCAATGCTGCCTGATATCTTCATGGCTCCCGGTCACTGGTGCTTGGTGAATGGGGAGGTTGTGGCTTGGTTTAGCAGCCTGCAAACTGGCACCGTTTGCTCACCGCCAGCTGCGTCTTCGCGGGCTGTTTTAGACTCGTAATTCCCCCTGGCAATAGCCCCAGTGGGAAGTGCAGCGTAGCCTGGGTTCGGGCGTTAATATTGTCGCCCCTCTGCCAAGTGGGAGCCGATTTTGAGGCCTCCCCATGGGAAGAGAAGTCTGGGTCTTTTCTTAGTGTCACTTGTAAGCATTGAACTAGTGAGAACTGAAGGCAGAGAGCAAACTCGCCCGCTGCTTGCAACTGCTGGCCCCCGACGAACGTGCATCACAAAACGAACAACAGTGCAGCGTTGCTTCAAAGACTGAACTCTGCTCGCATGCGACGCAAAAGGCAGCAGCTCCATTGGGTGTCTCCTGCTCTAACAGTGTACACAGGGCCGGACTTGAGTCCTGGCAGAGTCAGGAGACCAGAGGATCAGAGACTGTAATGCCATAACCAGCCCCACCCAAATTCACCGTCACTAGCGCGCTTCAAACCACGCCCCAGACTGCAAAGCTCACGTGATGAGAACCAGGGTGGGTCAGAGGGCCACCAGGTGGCGCTCGAAGGCGCCAGATTTGCAAAAGTGCTCAGCCCCCAGCAGCTCCCATAAGGTGGGAGAGGTGGTGATCGATGGGGGGGAAATACGCCATTGTTCCCCGTGGGGAAAGGGATCCTCCATGGCTCTGGGAGGGAGCCGCTGGGTGCCAGATGCTTTTGAAAAGCTGGTGGCTTCCGCTCGCTGCTTAGCCGGGAGCTGAGTAAAACTGAAAACCCAGGTCCGCTTAGCAAGCTGCTGTGTGGACTGAAACGTCATCTCGTCAAGAGGAAGCCAGCGGAGGTAGGAGGCTGGCACTTCCTACCTCTCTGCGGTGCACTCTGACGACGGCCTGCACCTTTCCCCGGCCAGGGTTGTGCAACTGCCAAAATCCCCCCCACGGGAGGAAAAGGCTGAGGGGGGTGTTTCCCAGAACGTGGATTCCTGGGACGGGAGAGACACCCATTCAGCATTTCCTGCACCACAGGCGAGAGCGTTGTGTTCACCAGCATCCAGTTGACTCATGGACTGCCTGTAAGCATGGCGGGCAGACAGCCTTCCTCCCCTTCGCTGGCACCGGCTCTGCATCACAGATGGCGACGGCACAGGAACGCTCAGCGTCCCGGTGCTGTACAAAACACAAACGCTGCTCTGGAGACCCTCGCTGCTTCCTGCAAAGGGAGGTGAAATGCAAGCTCAACCCAGAGCTGGATCTAGACCCCTGGAGTCCTGACTCCCAGATCGCCGCTGAAGTCAGGGCCCCTTATGGTTGTGAATAAAACCTTCCAAACGTGGAAGTCTGCAGACAGCCTGAGATGACAGCCCAGAGAGGGGTGTAAAGGGTTGTTGTTCACCTCAATGGGTGTTTACTCTGAAACCTATCAATGGCAGTAATTTGAGCAGAAACATCCAGCTCACATGATTCTCCCACAATATCCCCCCTCCCCGCCCCCTCCCAATGTTAAAAACTCCCTCTCTGGATCCCTTACAACAGGGCCAGATGCACCCTGACACCCAGCCGCCAGCTCTAACCACTAGACCCCACTTCTGGCTTGAGAATTTATGATGCAGGGGTCACCGTGGATAAACAACTCAGCATGAGCGCCCAGTGCGATGCCGTGGCAGAAAGGGCTAAACGGGAGTACTGAACGGGAAGTGGGAGGTGATTTTGCTCAGTCTATGGGGTTGGTGAAACCAGTCCTGGACTCCTGCATCCGGGTCTGGGGTCCCCATTTTAAAAAGGCTGTTGGGTAATTGTCACGGGGGCAGAAAAGAGCCACAAAACCGATTTGCAAGCCCAAGAAAATGCCAGCCAGTGAGAGACTCAAAGAACTTGTCAAAAAGGAGATTGGGAGGGGACCAGATTACAGCGTCTAAGTACTTTCACGGGGAGAAAACCCTGGGTCCCGCAGGCAGGGCCACCCAGAGGATTCAGGGGGCCTGGGGCAAAGCGGCGGAGCTTTGAGTCGGCAGCGGCATTTCAGCGGCGGGGGGCCCTTCATTCGCTCCGCGTCTTCGGCAGCACTGAAGGGGGCCCCCCGCTGCCGAAGACCAGGAGTGACTGAATTGCCCACCGCCACCGAAATGCCGCCGAAGTCCCGGACCGCCGCCAGGTGAGGAAAGGGATTCTCGGCCAGGGCTCAC